TAGACTACAAGAACGTATCGCTCGTAAGGTAGAGCGCCATCCTTACCGTGATCTCCACGAACTCCTACATTTAGCCGTTCAAATAGAAAAGCAAGATCAGAGGAAACAATCCCGGCTAAGTAGAGTAAGATCCCAAGTAGGACCCTCGTCATACTCACCAAAGCCTTCATCTGGTCCTAGGAAAGAAACGTCTGAGGTTAAAGTCTCGCGTGATCTCCGGGATAAAGGAAAAGTCCCCGAAGCTTCACGATCTCCAAAACCACCCGTGGATAACCCTAGGGACACTCGATCTAGAGAGATCATTTGTTATAAGTGTCGGGGCCATGGACATATGGCTAGAGATTGCCCAAACTCTCGCGTAATGATAATAATGGAAAACGGAGAGTATGAGTCCATGGATGAGGAAGAAGTTGGTGAACCCAACGAGGAGATCGAATATCCCGATAGCGGTGAACTCTTAGTGACGAGACGTGTTCTGAGCACCCTAGTTACTCCGGACGAAACTGCCCAACGAGAGACCATTTTTCACACTCGTTGTACCGTCCAAGGGAAAGTCTGCGGACTGATTATAGATAGCGGATCATGCACAAATGTCGCAAGTGCATATATGGTCAAGAAGCTTGGCCTAGTTTCCGAGAAACATCTGCACCCCTATAAACTTCAATGGTTAAACAACAAAGGGGAAATTAAGGTCACCGAGCGAGTCAAGGTACCATTTAGTATCGGACGGTACCAAGACGAGGTCACATGCGATGTTGTCCCAATGCAGGCGGGACACATGCTACTCGGTAGACCATGGTAGTTCGATCGAGAGGTCAGCCATGATGGACGAGCGAATCAGTACTCTTTCGTTTACAACAAGAGGAAGATTGTACTCGCACCCCTTAGTCCCTCTCAAGTGCATGAGATGCAACTAAAGCTAGCTAAGGACACCGAAGCGAAGAAGAAGAACTTCTACCTTAAAGCTAGTCAAGTCGATCGGGCTGTTCGTCAAGAACAATCGGTACTTCTCATGGTTTTTAAGGACGTCATGAACCTAAGGACGGAAGTACCTACCGATAACCCCGCCATAAGTCGACTACTTGAATGATTCCGAGATGTGTTTCCGGACGAGATTCCGGCAGGATTACCACCCATCCAGGGGATCGAGCACCAAATCGATTTAGTATCCGGTGCTCCTTTACCTAACCGACCCGCTTACCGAATGAACCTAGAAGAGACCAAAGAACTCGAAAAGCAAGTTCAAGAGCTTATGAGTAAGGGTTACATTCGAGAGAGTCTTAGTCCATGTGCAGTTCCAGTACTATTAGTACCCAAGAAGGATGGAAGTTGGCGCATGTGTGTGGATTGCCGAGCGATCAACAACATTACCGTTAAATACCGGCATCCCATCCCTAGACTCGATGACATGCTTGATGAGTTGAGCGGAGCCACGATCTTTTCAAAGATCGACCTTAAGAGTGGCTACCATCAAGTGAGAATGAAAGAAGGCGACGAGTGGAAAACCGCCTTCAAGACCAAACAGGGTTTTTACGAGTGGCTGGTCATGCCATTCGGATTCACAAATGCTCCGAGTACATTCATGCGCCTCATGAACCAGGTCTTGCAAACTTTCATAGGAAAGTTTGTCGTGGTTTACTTTGACGACATACTCGTGTATAGTCGAACCATCGAGGACCATCATTCGCATCTAGAGCAAGTATTGACCACTTTGAGAAAGGAAAGCCTCTATGTGAACCTGAAGAAGTGTTTGTTTTGTACCGATGAGTTGGTATTTCTTGGCTTCGTGGTCAGCTCTAAAGGCTTGCGAGTTGACGAGGAAAAGGTTAAAGCCATCAAAGAATGGCCGACTCCTACCATAGTTGGACACGTGAGGAGTTTCCTCGGGTTAGCGAGCTTTTATCGCCGATTTGTTCGGGACTTCAGTAGTATAGCCGCTCGTCTTACCGCCATCACTAAGAAAGATGTGAACTTTGAGTGGGAAGAAAATCAAGTGAGCGCATTTGAGGCACTTAAGGACAGCCTCACCCGAGCACTCGTCTTAGTTCTTCCGAACTTCGACAAAACCTTCGAGATTGAGTGTGATGCCTCTGGGATTGGCATAGGAGCTGTCCTTATGCAAGAAAAGAGGCCCGTCGCTTATTTTAGCGAGAAATTTAGTGGGGCTGCTCTCAATTATCCGACATACGACAAGGAGCTATACGCGCTCGTGCGTGCATTAGAGACTTGGCAGCATTACTTGTTGGCCAAAGAGTTTGTCGTTCACTCGGACCACGAGACCCTTAAACACCTCAAGGGACAAACTTCACTCAAGCGGAGATATGCTAAATGGCTTGAATTCATCGAGACCTTTCCCTGCATTACTTGTTGGCCAAAGAGTTTGTCGTTCACTCGGACCACGAGACCCTTAAACATCTCAAGGGACAGACTTCGCTCAAGCGGAGACATGCTAAATGGCTTGAATTCATCGAGACCTTTCCCTACATCGTTAAGTACAAGAAAGGGAAGGACAACGTCGTAGCCGACGCATTGTCTCGACGCTATGCGTTGATATCAGTCATGGAAGCCAGAATGCTTGGATTTGAACTCCTTAAGGAACAATACATGACTGATCCGGACTTTGAATCCATCATTAAGGAGTGTAGTCGTGGTGCCTATGGTCCATTTTTTCTACAAGATGGGTACCTCTTTCGAGAAAAACGTCTTTGCATCCCACAAGGGTCGATGCGAGATGTCATACTCCGCGAGGCTCATGGAGGCACACTTGCTGGCCATTTCGGAGTAGATAAGACGTTGGCCATTGTACAAGAGCATTTCTATTGGCCACGCCTCAGGAGGGACATTCAGAGGTTTTGTGCTAAGTGTATCGAGTGTCATAAGGCAAAATCTCGAGTACAACCTCATGGTCTTTACATGCCAATACCGATTGCCACCCACCCTTGGGTAGACATTTCGATGGACTTCGTGCTTGGGATGCCAAAAATACAACATAAGGATTCCATCTTTGTCGTAGTGGACCGGTTCTCAAAGATGGCACATTTCATACCATGTGCTAAGACCGATGACGCTAAGCATATTGCAGATCTCTTCTTTCGGGAAGTTGTGCGTTTACATGGTCTTCCAAAGACGATCGTGTCGGATCGTGACTCGAAATTCCTGAGCCATTTTTGGCGGACCTTATGGAAACGAGTCGGCACTAAACTCGTCTTCTCGACCACTTGTCATCCTCAAACGGATGGACAAACCGAAGTAGTCAATCGAACATTATCCACACTTTTGAGAGCTACTATCGGAAAACATTTCGGAGGATGGGTTGAGTGTTCACCGCATATCGAGTTTGCGTACAATAGAGCGGTCCATTCGGCCACTAAGCACTCCCCATTTGAGATAGTCTACGGCTTCAATCCAATCACGCTGCTTGATCTCATACCTCTTCCGAATGCGGAGTTTACGAACCTTGACGGCGAAAGGAAAGCCGAATTCGTTAAGCAACTCCATAAAAAGGTTAGAGACAACATTGCGCACAAGACCGAGCAATACACCCGCCAGGCAAACAAGGGACGAAAGGATGTCCAATTCAAAGAAGGCGACTGGGTATGGCTACACCTCCGACCCGAACGCTTTCCAGAAAAGCGCAAGTCCAAGCTAAACCCCAGACCAGACGGACCATTCCGCATACTAGAGAAGATCAACGATAATGCCTACCGTCTCGAGTTACCAAGTGAGTATACTGTGTCTAGTACTTTTAATGTTACTGATTTATCTTCTTTTGATGCAGGTCACGATATTTTGAGGGCAAAATCTTCTGAAGGGGGAGGGAATGATGAGGACATCGAAGCTAGAAGCTTGGACGAGGACGGGAGCTTAACGGAAGGAGCTCTAGAAGAGGTTGAAGACTTGGCCCATCAGGCATCAAGACTCTTGCCGGATGATCATAACGTCACAAGATCATTCGAAGCCGCGGGAACGGGACTTGACATGCACAACGCGAAGGCTCCCCGAACAAACCCTAGAGCCGAGCGACCATTAACTCGTGCTAGAGCTCGAGCACTTCGTATCACGCTAACCAAAGCTGTCACTCAAGTTCTCGACGGATTCCGGAGTAACGATAACAATGGCGCATCACTATTCGGACAAGAAGAGACCCGGAACATCTTCAGCATTAAGTCCGAATTGGCTAAGGCCTAGGACATGACTTTATTCAAGTCTTCGGCCCAAGAGGGAGGCCCACGACCCAACCCATGTGCAGCCCAAAGGAAGGAGCTTTCCCAACAGCTCTTTGTCTCATTTATTGCTAAACCCATGCATGTAAACTTAGCATTAAGTGTGTTTATTTCTTTTAAAATTCAGCTCTTGTAACTTTGAAACACAATTGAGATTTTTGCAAGTAATTTGAGATTGAATCTTCTCTCATTCTTTGGCTGGTGTGTCCGCCTCTCTTCCTCCGTGTTGGCCGCCGTCGGTGTGTCCGCCGGTCATCCGTCGAGCTCGGTTGGTCCGGCTCTTCCCCTTGGTTTGTCCGAGGTTCCTTCCCTTCGATTTCCATCTCCATTCTTCTGAAACGATCCGAATTCGAGAGCCACTATTTCGTGTGCCGGTGATTGGATTCATTTCTCCGCAAAGCCCCTTCGATTCCCTTGTTCCTCCGCGAATTCGAGAGCCATGCTCGTGAGCCGGTGATTGCGGTTGAACTCCCCTCGTCCATCCTCTTCGTGCGTACATCAAACTCTCTCTGCGATTTACTCCGTCTGTCGAATGCTCCCTTCTATCTGCGTGTTATGCCTCTTTATTTCAAGACGAACAAGATGTGGTCGACGTTTTCGTTGTCGTCTGAGTACCGCATTTTAAGGGAAAGATGTCGGACATGTCTGACATAATTATTGCTTTACTTTTCACTACAAAACAAACTTTGCAGACAAATTGAGTGCAACATCATATATATATATATATATATATATATATATATATATATTATATTATCTATAGATATATAATACGTTTACATATATATAAGCACACATATGTATTAATATATACATATATATATATATTATATGCATATATATATATATATACTCTATTTATACCTATAATTATAATTCTGTGCTCCGTAAATATATATACATATGCATTTTCCAATATGTATATATACGTTCCTATATTATACATA